AAAAAAATTTCAGTATATATTCCATTCTTTTAAAACTAATTTTCCAACAGATCATTCTGTAATAACAGAAAACTATTTACTTATTTCTGATATCTGAAAGCATAAATCTGCAAACCAATTGGATCTATCAAAAAGAAATGAAAAGGAACCAGGTTTCTTACTTCTAAGTTGTAGAGCACTCTGAAGGTGGACATTCCTGGAGCAAAAGATCGAAACAGACTTTCTAAAATTGAACTGGCGCTTGGCTGATGCTGCTGCTTTGAAGACAGGGATGGAGATTTTGAAGACTGAGAACTTGATTCAGACAGTAATGTCTTCTAAAAGAATGAACAAAGAAATACGTCTTAAAATCACAAATCAAAGAGAAACAGATCTCAGTACATATTCTAATATTCTTTTCCTCTTTAACACAAGCCACGAAAATGAAAATTTTTTTTTGTCTTTTTTGTAACCGGCCGCACCGCGCTCAGCCAGTGAGCGAACCGGCCATCCCTATATAGGATCCGAACCTGTGGCGGGAGTGCTGCCACGCTCCTAGCGCCGCACTCTCCCGAGTGTGCCACGGGGACGGCCCGAAAATGAAATTTAAAAAAAAAATTAATTTCATGAAGCCACATCACTCTGTAATTATAACAAAACATCAAACTTCATCATACAAATTCTAAGTATTCAATGACATTCAAACACTATATGAATTCTTTTCAGAATGTGTTCCATGCAACACCAGACATTGGCAAGGTCATTTTATTTCCATGTTTAAAATCTGTACTTCTAAATACCAACAATGAAAGTATGAAATTGCTGAAATGGTAGTCTTGAGAATTTTTTTTAGCTAATATGAGGATACTTCAAAAAGTTCATGGAGGGCCAGCCCGGTGGTGCACTGCTACAGTGCGCTGCTTGGGAGCGCGGTGGCACTCCCGCCGAGGGTTCGGATCCCACATACAGACCGGTTCCTGCTCACTGGCTGAGCGAGGTGCGGGTGCAGCGCTGAGGGTTGCGATCCCGTTGCCGGTCCCAGTCCGGTACGGGCGCGACACTGAGGGTTGCGATCCGTTGCCGGTCACGAAAAAAGACAAAAAGGAAAAAAAAAAAAAGTTCATGGAAAGATTCGTATTATCTTTTAATTCTATTTTTCCACAAACTTGAAGTACCCTCGCATTAGTGATATATTTTATAATCACATTAGTTCTCTTGTCCCTCAAAACCCAATAGATGACATGACTGAGCTGATCTAAATTTTAGCCACTAAAATATAAAATACAACACTTAGTTTTAACAACTTTTTCTAAAGGAATTTACTCTGAGAACATAAACATAATTTCTACATATATATTATGAAATAAAATTTAAAAATTAAACAAAACGAACTTTAAATATAAAATGTGAAAAAAATTAAATGATAATCCATTTATACAAGCAACCAAGACACATACAACAGATTCCCAGGGGCATCATGACAGAAGAAAAACATCTCTAATGAATCAGACTGATCCTGGACAAGTAACTTCATCTCTTTGGGCTTCGGTTTCCTAATATACGAGTAGTCTTCAAAAAGTTAACATAAAGATTCATATTATCTTTTAATTCCATTTTTCCATGAACTCATTGGAGTACCCTTGCATAACATGAGGAGAAGAGTTGAAGTAGATGCTATGAAGGGCTCTCCCAGTTCTAAAATTTGATGACATTACTGACTCTACCTACATCCTTTAAAAGCCAACATGAAGTTCTGATGTCCATTTTTGGCAAAGATATTTTTCAAAAGAAGAAAAAATATTATGGGAAACCTGATATCACATGGCCTTAATGTGATTTCCTATTGTATTGTCACTGAATCATGATATACAATTCCCATGCTAGTGAAATAACTATTGAAGATACTCGTACCTTTCTTCCTAGGGAATCAAGTTGATCCAGGGCTTCCTGAATGGCTGGATCAGTGGGTATCAAGAGCAGAAGCTTTCGTACTCGTAGAGTTATCCTGAAATTTTTCAAATATACATTTTTTTCACATAAGCCACAGTTCTAATAACAAAGTCATTTTGTACGGGATGTAAAGTAAAATATATTTTAAGTGAAAAGTTACTTGGTTCCCTAACTTTAATAACTTTCTCTCATTCAAGCCTCACATTATTTATCTTTACCTTGGCTCCTCTAGATTGGCAAGCTGGTAAAGCATGTCAAACACATTACATACAAGTGCCATCACAACACCAGGGAGGGATTTCTCCTGGGGGAAAAGAGCAAAACAGAAATATGAATTTACAAAAGAATTTTCTCCTCTTCTAATCACACTTACAAATAATAAAAATACTAGTTCTGGAAGGCTCGCCACCACAAAGCCTGGGGAAGCATAGTGCTCGTGTGCACTGAAGAAACCCACATGGGAGCACACAGGGATCACGACTTCCTAGTGCATATGACCTGGTCTCTTCTCCTCACCCCCTACTGGTGAAGAGGCTGAGGCACCACAAGGCAGGTGGCAGGAGAGAGATGAGACAAAGGGCATATGCAGTGAGCGTAAGGGGGAGCAGGCACCACTGACAGATAATCACAGCTCGGCTGCAGCGCGCAGGGTATGAATGATTTGCGGCAAAATTAAAGTAGTACGTATACATATATATACCTTCACACGCAACACATGATATATGTAATTTAAGTTGAGAAAAAGAAGTTATCCTGTTTTTTAAAGATCAGAAAAGACAAAATGAATATAACTGCATAGAAGAGATTCAGATATGATTAATGTACTATTTTCTGGCTATAAAGATCAAGAAGCTAAACACCATTATAGAATGATTTATATGTGGGAAGATTTTTAATGAATTTGGGATAAAAATGAGATAGGTTAAAAATATTAAACTTGAAGATGCTTATGAACATTGTTTTTGTTATTTAACGGTCATAATACCACTTTCAGTGGGATTTCTTTCTTAAATTCTTATTATATATACATACAGATATACTTAATAAAACCCAACAATATTAACACTATACTCGAAGAGTTCTTTGATACCTATCTATATAGCAAGGCTATGCTTGTAAGTTGAAAAGACACAGTCACATAAAGATCTTACATTTGGAACTAAATTAAAGGAATATACATATAATTATTTATTGTCTTCTTTCTATATATATGTATAAAAACATATACATAGTAACCATGAAAAAAAACTCTGTACACGTATCTTAAATACCTTTACTGTATATTAGCTTACTTTCTAAATTGTAAAAGCCCGAAGAGCAGAACAGTCTTACTCAGCTTTGTACCTCTGGAGCCAGGCTCAGTTCTGACACAGGTACAAAATAAATAAACTGATTGATTCATGAAGTCCTTCAAATACTGTCTGAGCACCTGTCATGTTCTAGGCACTGTTTCAAGTGTTGGGGATGCAGCAGTGAACAAAACAGACAAAAGTCTGTTCTGATGGAGCTTACATTTTACTAGGGGATACAGATGAACAAGACAAATAAAATATGAAGTATGTTAATGACAAAATTAAGTAGGAAAGGTAAATGAGAAGTGGACGGGGAGGGCTGGGGTTGAAAACTTAGACAGGATCATCAAAGAAGGCTCTCTGAGAAGGCAACATTTGAGTAAAAACTGAAGAAAGTGAGGGAGCCACCTGGATGTCAGGAAAGAACATTCTAGGCACAGGGAAGAGCAAGTGCACAGGTCCTACTGTGTCTGAGGACCAACCTGGAGGTCAGTGCATCTGGAGAGGTGTGGGTGAGGGGAGGGTCACAGGAGATGGCCTCAGAGAGGTTCCAGAGGGACACATTAGGTAGGCCCTGAAGATCCCAGTAAAGACTTTGGCTCTTATTCTGAGTGAGATGGGAACAATGGAGCATTTGAAGCCGAGGAGTAGCACAACCTGCCTTATGTTTAGTAAGATCATGGGCTGCTGGGTGCCCTGTAGGGATGAGACTGCATTGCTATAAGAGCAGAAGCTATGAGACCAGTTAGGGAACTATCAAAAAACTCCAGGTGAGGTAGCATAGTTGCCTAGACTGGTGTGGAAGCTGTGGAGGGAGACAGAAGTAGCTGGATTTGGATGTATGTTAAAGGTAGAGTCAAGGATTTGCAGATGCATATGGCTGTAAGAGAAAGGATAGACTCAAAGATTCTGGCATGAACAACTAGAAGAATGGAGATGCTATTCTCAGAGACAGAACAAGATGAGGATAAAGAAGTTTGGAGTGGGGATGAGGAGGTGGGAAAAGGGATATCAGGAGCTCACTCTTGGATATATTATAATTGGGGTGCCTAGAAGACATTTAAGAAGAGAAGCTGAATAAGTAGATGGATCCATATATTTGGACTTCAGGCTAATGATAAAAATTGGGGAGTTATCAATGTACATGTGATATGTAAAGCTTTGAGACCGGATGAGATTACTAAGGGAATGAATGTAGACAGAGAAATCCAAGGACTGGGCCAGGGAACTGCTCTGTATAGAGATCATGAAGACCAAGAGCAGACAAAACTAGAACAGGCAGAGAGGCAGGGAAAAGGAAAAGAGCCTGACTCTTTCCAAGAGAGGGCAAGAGAGGATGGCAAAAGAGATGCTGGAAACAAGTTTAGACAACTCTTGCAAGCAGTTTGGTTGATTTGGGGAGAGAGTGAATGGGATAGTAACCAAAGGTAGAATTGGCATGAAGAGGTTTTTTTAAGATGACAAAAATAACACAACCAGTTTGAATACTAATGGGAATGACCCAGTAGGGAGGGAAAAATCAATGAATCAATGAAGAGAGATGTACGAGAGGACAGTGAGTGTCCAGGCAGAATGATTCAGTGATTCCAAAGGTTCTATGATTAAGAAGACTGATAAATTATACATCTTCTTCTCCCAATTGAATCCAAGCATTTCTCAGTTATACAGTTCTGAAGATCAGAACTTATCAGAAAGAAAAGAACATAATCACCCAAATCCATATGGCCTGAGAGCAAAAAGGTAATGATTGTTAAATTCTTCTTTTGAATTGAAATTTATCACTTAGTACCTGCTCCATGGCATAGGATGAACTAAAAACACCACTGCTGCTGCTGCTGGAGCTGGTTGATGAATCTGCTGAGCTCCCAGATGGGGTCCCACTGCCAGAAGTCTTTACTGTAAGGACTTGTTCATCAGAAAAGCCCAGTTGGTGGAGTAGCTTTTGATCTTTATTCACTGTCAGCTGCAAAAAATGGTTTCTTAATTATTGAAAGGGAAAGGAAGGGGAAAGTATTTATATCATGCCAAAGTACCAAAAACTGTTTATTTAGACCTACCAGACTATCATTTGTAAATATCTGTATATTATCCACAGGAGAGCACAACTGCTTGGCTATCTTCCACCGAACACTCCCTATGGTTTCATTACTGTGAGCCTGTAAAATAAAATTAGACACTGTTGTGAGATAATTTACTTATTCATTGAAACAACCATTAGTGAACATCTTCTATGTACCAGGCACTGTTCTAGAAGCTTGGAACACAACAGAAAACCCAAAGACAAGAATCTGCTCTTGCAAGGCTTCCCTCCTACTGCAATTAAATGTTCTATCCCATGCTCCAATCCCGCCCCATCATGCGTGGAGTAAAGTCTCAAGTCCTTCCTCTGCTGTATCTTCCACTCCTCCCCTTTCTCTCTGTGCTGTACTCACACCAGCCACCTTGCTTGCCTTTGTGCCTGATGCTCTCTTTGCCTGGAATGTTCTTCCAAGCAAACATCATTTACTCTGTCATTTTATTCAAGTATTTGCTCAAATGTCACCACCTGAGAGAGACCTTCCCTGTTCATCTTTATCTAAAAAATTTCATACATATCCATCATCCTCTACCAAATTATCTTGCTTTACTCTTACTTATTCTTATAACACTTAGTACCACATGACACTATACTATATATTTATTTATACATCTTCTTGTATCTCATAGTTTCGTTTCATTTCAGGCCTTGATTCTAAATTTGTTTACCAAACAAATCTTAGAACCATCATTCACGTAGCTATCTCAGTCAAGACTGTTCTTTATATATTTTTTTTCCTTTTTGTCTTTTTTACTGACCGGTAATGGGATCGCAACCCTCGGTGTCGCGCCCATACTGGGGACCGGCAACGGGATCGCAACCCTCGGTGTTGCGCCCGCACCGCGCTCAGCCAGTGAGCGGGAACCGGTCTCCACATGGGATCCAAACCCTCGGCGGGAGCGCCTCCGTGCTCCCAAGCGGCACACTCTCCAGTGCGCCACCGGGCCAGCCCAAGACTGTTCTTAAGAAAACAACAAGGCAACATGAAAATGGCTACAGAACTTAATGTAAACCTACCTCTACAGTGAAGGTGTCTTTGGTAGACTCATAGGTAACATTAAGAGTTAAAAGATGTCCATGAAATGAGGCACCATGAGGTAGAATAGTTCGTGGAACAGAGTAAAAATCCTTGAAAAAGATTAAGGCAAACGAGTCAGATGCACAGTGCCACCGTTAAACATGTCAAAAACACACACCTAACATATTTAGTCTGGTAACGTGATGAGTGAAATTGCTTTAAAAAGAAGAGAGGCTAACCTCTATAGTGATCACATAGCGTTCTGCCAGAAGCAGCAATCTCTCAATTATTACAAGTTTAGTGGATCTGTGGATTGAAAAATAAAAAGGTTTTAAATGTATTTGAAACCAATTGCTGATTTGAGCTCAATTCTAGCCTGGTTCACTAAAACCACAATCACAGTTAGCACTTACTGGTCAAAGACTGAAATTTGCAAAGATTAAACTTCCCTTCACCCAGTGGGGAAAATGGTTCAACCAGCTCACAACTCTGGCACAGATGGAATAAGGGAGGAGAAAAGTATGCCCCTCCCCACATTTCCTTTCTTCTTTTCTTAAACAGCTGGGAACCTAGGTCTCCAGGCCTATTTGTCCATCAATCCACCAAGAACGAACAATCGATGAGTTTGACTCTCATGATCTTACAACTAAAATATGCCACAGAATTCTGTAAAAACATGGAATCTGACAAAGTTCTAAACTGCCTGAAAATTAGAAGACAAATGCAAACCAGTAATTTTACCACAAATAAAAGTTACTGTTTGAAAATGACATCTGAGGTCTCTTTTAGTCAAAGACTTATGGAATCTTACCTATCATGTGAAATAACAGGACTGCAACATTCAGCAGCTTATACAGTCACAGCTCCTTTCTTTATTAAAGAGAACACTACAGGTATTAACGTTAAGAAATGAAAATCTAAGTGCTCTTAATTTAAGTATTTGCTATTCCAGAAAGTCTAGTTATTTCAAATAGGTATATTTTTAAAACTGAGAAGAGGTACTATCATTTTCCAACAATTGGTCTGGAATGCTGGTTAGCAATAATGGAAATTTCACTTTAAAACAGTTGGTTAAAAACATTTTAATAGTTCTATTAAAATACCTTTAACAGAGCTCTAAGTTCTTCCAATCTATGTGCAAGAACTAGAACTTGAAATTCAGATGAAAAATCTTTAGGAAATATCTAAGTGCTGTAATAAGTGAGCGAATTATTGAGTGAACTGTTTTAATTATGCTTTAATAATGAATTAAGTCACAGATACCATTGCAAAACACTGTACAGATGAGAGACTAACCCCTTCCGCCAAATAAGCTAGAACTATTATGGATACTAAAAAGTTCTTTCAAAACTAGTGAAATAAGATATACTACTACAATGTTTTGATTCAAATTCAACTTTGAAATTATACATTCTCATGAACTATTGATAGTTTGTAATGAGAATATTTTAAAGTTTAATGTGGTCTTTCTCTGTCGTCAGCCACATGTGAAATGATTCAGAATAAAAATCACTTAGTGAGAAAAAAAACAAAAAGCACACTTGTTTAAAGAGGTAGCAATCTGGAAATCCCAATCCAATAGCT